AATAATGGGCCTTTCAAACCTGAAAAAAAAAAAAGAGGGAGATAAGGACAGGTAATGACAACCACTAAAAGAGGATGAAGTGTGAGTCTGAATAGGAAAGAGGTTCACAGAACTAATCATCAGATGCAGGTGATCCTGGGTCTCGGGGTTTGATAATTTAATGCATCTTCCATACAGCAAACAAGCAGAAGTCCCTAGTCATAGGGAAACTGAGTCAGACAAGAGCCATCATTTCCCTGAAATTTTCTTGTGACCTCTCCTCCTGGCCTTCCCGATCTCCAGGCAAACACTGATCTTTTTTATGTCATTTTAGATTCATTTGCATTTTTGAGAATTTTACGTAAATGAAGTTATACAGTAATACTTTTTTCTGTTTTTCTTTCATTCAGTGTAATTATCTGAGATTCATCAGTGCTGTCTTGTGTATCAGTAGTTTATTGCTTTTTACTGTCAAGTAGTGTCCTATTGTATGGATATATCACATATCCCACAATTTGTTTATTCACTCGCTTTTTGATAGAATTTGTGTTAGGTTCTCCAGAGAAACAGAACCAATAGAATACACACACACACACACACACACATACACACACACACACACACACACACACACACAGACACACACACACACACAGATTTATTTTAAGAAATTGGTTCACACAATTGTGGGGATTGGCTGATCTGAAATTTGCAGGATGGGCTGGCTGGCAATGTGTTCCAGCAACATCTGATGTCGCAGTCTTGAGTCTGAAGGCAGAATTCCTTCCTTCGTCTTCAGGGAACATCAGTCTTTTCTCTTAAAGCTTTCAACTGATTGGATGAGGCCCACCTACATTAAGGAGAGTAATCTGCTTTACTCAAAGTCTACTGACATAATGTTATCACATAAAAAATACTTTCCCAGAAACATCTAGACTGATGTCAGTGTGGCCTAGCCTAGATGACATATACAATTAACCATCACAGACTTGTCCCTAATTTTAGCTATTACAAATAAAGCTGCTGGAACATTTGTGTACACATTTTTGTATGACCATATGATTTCATTTCTCTTGGGAAAATACTTTGGAGGGGAATGACTGAATCATATGGTCTATGTATGTCTAAAAAAAGGCCCACCACATGGTTTTCTGAAGTGGTTGTACCATGTTATATTCCCACCAGCAGGGTATGAGTTCCAGTTGCTTTGATATCATCACCTGTCTTTTTTAATTGGTATGATCTGTCTATTCAATTTTAGACATTTTAATAGGTATGTAGTAGGTTCTAATCATGGCTTAAATTTACATTTTATTAATGAATAATGATGTGCCACATTTTTAATGTCAATTCCTCTTTACTTGCAGGTTATTTTGCTTTGCAGGTAGGAAAGGCAAGATTAAAATACAAAGTTACACCCCCAGCAGTTTCTGGATCACCAGAGTTTGATAGAATATTTCGTGCACAGTAAGTAATGCTTCCTCCACACTTTAGGAATTGAGGCCTGGCATATATGTACAATTATGATTAGGGCAAATAAGTGTAGAGAAGATATTCTGTTATAACAAACCACTTTTCATGGCCAAGACCTTTCTCATAATCCTTGAAGTTTGAAGTATCCAGTGCAGGGAGTCTCTATCTACCTGTATTACAAATTCAGAGGGTACACTTAGCAAAAAAGGTTGGGATCTTAGGAGGGACTGCTGTACATTTCTAACTATGGCAGTTTGGTTAAAGAGCCCCTTCAAGTCCCCTGAGAGTTCAAGAGCCTCAAATAAGTTGTGCTATCCATTTTCTCTGTTTTCCATATTTCTTATTCTCCACTTCAAAGCAGAGGTGGCTCAGTATTATCCTCTGCCCATGAACCATTTCCCCTAAATCTATAAGAATGAGAAAGCTTTCATTTCACATGTTATATTTGTAGTGTTTTTGATTATCTTATTCTCTGGGCCTTTTCAGATTCACACATATTGTTTCACCATGAATTTGCCTGCCTCAACATACTAGGGCTTTCTTTATATTTCATTGCCCAAAGTAAGCACTTTTAAAAGCAGTTGCACATATTACCACTTATACATTACTTGGTTCTTTTCTTAATATTTTGTGATTTTTCATCTATGTTCATGAATGAGGATGGCCTATAATTTTCCTTTCTTGTGTGATCCTTGTCTTGTTTTGATACCAAGATTATACTAGATTTAAAAGTTTAAAGTGTATAATACATTGTACTAGAGGTACAATGTTGTAAAGCAGCTCTCTAGAGATTACTACTCTTACTTAACTATGGCTTTTGCCTAAAATATAACTTTAAGTAACATTGAACAGAATGAGTTAGAGAATTATTTTCTCAGAGAATTTTAATAAGATTGGATGAGTGTGCTCCTGAAGTTATTAGAATTTGATTGTAAAATTATCTGGTCTTGATAGTTCCCTCATGAAAAAATTTTAAACTATGGGATTTGATTTATTTAATGATGATTGGACCTGTCAGGCTTTTTGTTGTATTTTGAATCACTTTGGGAAGTCATGATCTTTGGGCTGACAAAACTGGTCTCTTGTCCTTCTATTTTCTCCAAGGAGGATTGCACAGACTATTCTCTAGGCTTGAAAGTATGGGATGAACACAACTGGTAGTAGAAGAGATCATTTTAAGAGGTGCACAGACACAATTTAAAAAATTTTTCATTGTGTTAATCACATGTAACATGAGATCTACCCTCTTAAAAGTTGAAAGTGTGTAACACATTGTTGACTAGAGGTCAACAGCTCTCTAGAGCTGTTGTATAGCAGCTCTCTAGAGCTTATTACTCTTACTTAACTAAGACTTTATGCCCAAAATATAACTTTAAGTAATGTTGAACCACATGATGAGAAAGTCATTTCTATTTAAATTGTCTTTAAGTCTTTATGGTTACATCAAATGGAAGGTATCTGTTTGGAGCCAGTAGGTCCCACACTCCAAATTACAATATTTATTTTTCTCAGAGTATTACATGTATGTGGTCTGAAAACACAATGAGATTAAAAGCCTTATAGAAACAAATAACTCTCTTTATTGCCAATTCATCCCCAGAGACAACCATTGTCATCCTTTTTACTACCATTTTTGGCATTTACTTCCATATTTCTAAACACTCTGCCTTCACTGTTATTTATTGATTCACAGATGTAGGCATTATCAATTGACTTTCTTTTATGGAAGAAAGAATTTTATGTTCCTCTGCTTCCTCTTTTCCTTACCTCCTTCTTCCAGTAAAATTATGTCATTTTGTTGAGTTAAATCAACAGACAATGTTTATATTATTATAATTAAATAAATAATGCTCAAAGCTAAGTCAAATAGTATACTATGACTTCACTTCCTTCTTGGGCAATTTTTTGTTTTACCTGGGGTTAATAATTGTTTCTTTGTTTGCCCAGTTTCATCCCCAAATCTTCAACAGAACTGAAAATCTCATCAGTACATTCATACATTAAATAATCTAGTAAAACCATTTATTTCTTTCTTAGACAATCCCTGCTAAGTCTTCCATATTTCTGCCCCATTCTGGAGGTTTTGCTTAGGCCTCTTACACAGTTGTTATTCTGGGACTTCCTGTCATCATCCTAGGAATTTTGCTTATACTTTCCTGATTTGGGTCACCTGTTTCTCATATCTTTTATTTTCCTATTTGTTAGTTTTCTCTCTCATTTTGGTGGAACACATCCTGCAGAAACTTCCTGAGAGAGGGGGAATGGCAGATCAAATTTTGAGATTTTACAGTTCTGAATATGCCTTTATTCTGCCTCACACTTGATCGATGACTTGGTTAGGCATATATTTCTGTGTTAAAAATCCTTACACTGAGAATTTTGAAATTATTCCTCTATTCTTTTCTAGTTTCCACTAATGTTGTTGAGCTGTTTTGTGTTATTATAATTCCTGATCCTTTGTTCGGAAACTGTGGACACTTTAGGACTTTTCCCTTGTCCCAGTGTCTTGAGATGTGATGGTGGTATGCTTGCTCAGAGGCATTTGTCTTCACTATACTGAACCCTAGAAGAGGCTTGTTCACAGCCTGAAAAGTCATGTCCTTCTGTTCTAGAACATTTTTTTTAATATTATTTTTTTCCCTAATTTCTTTTTCATTTTCTCTATTCTTTCATTCTTAAAATGTGGATTAATTATATATTGACCTCCTGGACTGTTCATTGAGCTTTCTTTTATCTTTACTTTTTTTATCTTTTTTTACTTCTAACTTTTTACTGATTCAAACAAATTTCAGATATGAATTTCAATTCCTAAGTACTAACTTCTATTCTCTGCTTGTTCTTTAGGTATTGCTCAATCATGCCTTTTTTGTTGCACGAATGCAATTTATTCTCTTACACCTGAGGATTTTAATGATAAAAAAAAGTATTACTGGGTTACCTTTGTTTCTTCCAAGTTCCTTCTTATTTGTCTATTTTGGCCTTTGCCTTTTTTTTATTATTATTATTTTCCCATTAAATATTTATTGACCACTTCTATATACTAGGCACTGCAGTAGCTTGGGATACATCAGTGAATCAGACACAGATTCTTGCTCTCTTGAAGTTCAACTTACAGCCAAGGAAGACAGAAAATAAGTAAGCAGATAATATTATAAGAAACTAATATATTACTTAAGAGAGTGGTATTAAGAAATAAAGAAAAAGGAAAGCATTATAAGGGAGTATGGGGGTGTGTTGCTGTGGGTTGAGTTGGGGTGGGTTGTGATTAAAAATAGGGTGATTGGTGTAGGTCCCACTGAGAAGGTGGCACTTGAGCAAAGCTTAAAGTAGGTGAAGGAGTCAGCCATGTGAATGTGTACAGAAAATGTGCCTGAGGCAGAGCGAATAGCCAGTGCAAAGGCACCAGGAATGTGCTTGGTGGATTAGCAAGGGAGTCAGTGTGGCTGAGAGGAGCTGACAGAAAGTGACAGGAGGTAAAGTCAAAAAGGTAATGGATAATCATGTAGGGCCTTGAAGGCCATAATAAGGGCTTTGGCTTTTACTTGGAGTGAAATGGAGAATTGTTAAAAGGTTTTAAGTAGAGGAGTAACATGATTTTATGAAAACATGACCTTTTGAAAAGGTCACTGTGTTTTACTGAGAATAGTCCATGGAGGCATTGGTAGGAGCAGAAAATTCAGTTAGGAGGCTACTGTGAAAATCCAGGTGAGAGAATGGTGACTTGAACCAGGGAATAGCAGTAGATATGATAAGAACTGGTCAGATTCTAGATTTATTTAGAGGGTAAAGCTGATAGAATTTCCTGACATAATAAATACAGAGTGTGAGAAGAGTTAAAAACGATTTATATTTTTGGCCTGAGCATCCTGAAGGACAGAATTGTGATTAACTGAGACAGAGAAGGATACAGGAGGAGCAGTTTTGGAGGAAGACCAGGACTTTCCATTTCGGCATGTGTCTGAGAAGTGACTTATGCTACAGCTAAGGAGAGGGTTTAAGCATCATGTCTACTAAACTACTCATATTGTTTGTTATTGCATCATAAACTGGCTAATACATTGTTGTTTACACATCCAAGTGGAGGTAGAGAGTAGGCAGCTGGATATTCTAATCAGCATTTAGCAGAGAGATCTGAGCTGGAAATATAAATTCAGGAGTCACTGAGGATGAGTCTCATTAAAGCCATGAGACTAGATGCAATCAGTAAGGGAGTGGGTATAGGTAAGGGAGAAAGAGGACCAAAGACTGAACCTCGAGCCCTTCAGCCTTAGAGGGAAAGAAGACAAGGGCAGAACAAAGAGATTTGAGTAGAGAGATTAAGACTTCACTCAAATATCAGGTGATTTCTTGATTGACTCTCTGTGCAAATTTAAGAAAGAGGCCTTAAAGAGTGAAGTGGAAACTCTGTGTGCATGGGCTGACCTTACTGAGTGGGCAGCTTCACTAAGGGTGATTGATCAGAAGGCAGCTTTATTCTGTGGGTCCCAAATGTCAGCATCTGTAGTTGATCTTCCTGGAACGATTTAGTTTCTCTAGAGAAAACCCTGAAACTTCCTGCGGGGTGGAGGGCATAAGGGGTGACGGAGGGAAGAGAGGGGTGAGGGAAGAGGATGGTACAATAAGCCTGATTTCTATAGTCTGAGAGGGTGGTGGGTAAAGGAAAGAAGATTCTTTCATCTGCAGTAAGTAGGTTTGCTGTTTTCAGTACAGAATTTTACCCACACCCTTTATTGTTCCTGGAGCCCCACAGACATTCTGTCGTTCAGTTTCTCTAGACAGCAAACCTCCCAGTGCCTCTTAATTCTCCCCATTCCATAGAGAAAGGGCCTCATGCTCTGAGCCTTCAGCAGTCAATAGCATCTAATGAGAATGTGTGGCATTTTGTTTTGTTCTGTTTTCATGGGATTGATTTCTATACTTATCCTTTATTTAGAAAGCGATACTCTTTTTTCACTTGTGGTGGTGATATAAAATTTCATTTTCCATAATTTGTT